GGGGCTCCCATGGAGGTTCTGAGGGGAATGGCTGGCGGCCATGCTTGGAGGAGGGTAGGCAGGTGTGTGTGGGTGCATGTGTGTCCATGTATCCATGTGCTGAGAGTGTGTATGTGTGTTCATATGTGCCATTATGTGCACATGTCCATGGTGGTATGTACATGTGTGCACATCTGTGTGTATGTGTACAGTACATAGTGTTCCTGTGTGAGCATGTGCATATGAGTGTGCATGGTGTGCACACATGCATTAACACGTGTGCTTTGAGGCTGGGCTCTGTGCAGGGCCATTTTCGGCGATTTGGACAAAGCACAGTATAGAGGCAATGAAGGGGAAGCTGATCTGTCCTGGGCGGAGGGGGTGGAACATGGTGTCCAGTGCCCACCCCCTGGACCAAGAATGCGTCTAGGAGCTGGAGACAGACATGGTCTTAGCGGTCGTGACCGCAGCCATGTTCTGAATTTTGTGCCTGGAGTATCCACATTTGAACTAGTTTACTCTTCCCAGCAGCCCATGAAATTGGCTCCCCACCGAGGCACCCTCCTTCCACAGGGCCTTTGCTTGGGCTGTTCCCCACCCCCACCCTCACCAAGAAAGGCTTTTCCCCAGGCACCCAGAAGGCTCCCTCCCTCGAGTCCTTGCTCAGTCATTTCTTCTCAGTGAGGCCTACCCAGCCGTGCTGTTTAAAATGGCAGCAGCCCCAGCCCCAGTCTCCACCCTGAATTCCGTCGCAGTTCCACCCAAATGTGACCTGTGAGCGTCCTGGATAATTACCCATGTTTGTGGGGTCCCCCCCTTATTCTCCACCCCTGCTAGCATGTAAGCACCCCAGGGCAGGGGTGTTTGCTCGCTCACTGACGTAGCTCCCAGTGAGCTTCCTGGTATACAGGTAGCTACCTGGACAGTACCTGGCATACGGCAGGCGCCTGCTCATAAATGCTTGCTGAGTGGAACGAGGCACAGGGATTAGGCGGTGGCAGCGTCACGCAGCTGGGAAGGGCCCACTGACGGCAGAGCCAGCTCTTAGCCTCTGGGTGGTCCCGGGCTCCTGGGCTTCTGCTGCGCGGAGCTCTGCTGGGAGAGTCAGGTGCGTGTGGGTGCTCATGTGTGTATGGGGTTGGGGTGGCACGTGGACCAGAGTGGTCCAGCAATCATTCCGAAGACACACAGCTGAGCCAGGCCAGGTGCCAGACCCCAGATCTGTCCCCTGAGCCCCGTGCTCAGGGAGCTTCGCCCCCTCATGCAGGCTGGGGGAGGCTGGGACAGGCACGTCCTTTATCTCCCAGAGAAGGCTGTGCGCAGCCAGGGAGCGGACAGGCAGCCCAGGCCAGCCAGTGGCCCATTTTCAGCCCTGCCCCCCGCCCAGCCTGTCCAGATACCACATGGCCACGTCACGTGTCTGACTCGGCCGGTGGTCCTCCGGCCACAGCAAATGTTCCCTCTCCGCTCGCCTCCCACCTGGCCGCCGCCTCTGAGGCACACTCCCACCAGGGGTCTCTCATGTGTCCCTGGTCCCTCTGTCTCTCCCCCACAGTCTCTCTCTATGTTCTGCCTCTGGTGAGATGGAGCCATTTCTCTCAAGGGTTGTTTTAAATATTCATGTTTTAATTAAAGAATTTTATTGCAGAAGCAACATGTAAGACAATGAAAAAGCAGTGTCCTGGGGGCTGGGAGTGTGTGTCTATGTGTGACCATGATTCTGTGTGTGTCCCTGTCTTTGTGTGTATGTGTCTCTATCCCTGTGTGTTTGTGTCCCTATGTGTGTCCCTGT